GGTCCAACGACCGGAGGTCCTACGACCGGAGGTCCAACGACCGGAGGCCCAACGACCGGAGGTCCAACGACCGGAGGCCCAACGACCGGAGGCCCTACGACCGGAGGTCCAACGACCGGAGGCCCTACGACCGGAGGTCCTAGGACCGGAGGTCCAACGACCGGAGGCACAACGACCGGAGGTCCAACGACCGGAGGAACAAAGACCGGAGGCCCAACGACCGGAGGAACAAAGACCGGAGATCAAACGACCGGAGGCCCAAAGACCAGAGGGCAAACGACCGGAGGTCAAACGACCGGAGGTCAAACGACCGAAGGCCCAAAGACCAGAGGCCAAACGACCGGAGGCCCAACAACGCCCAACGATTGGAGGTCCAACAACTGGAAACCCAACAATGCCCAACGATGCACAATGACCAGAGGCACAATGACCAGAGGCACAAAGACCGGAGGTCCAACGACCGGAGGTCAAACGACCGGAGGTCCAACGACCGGACGTCAAACAACCGGAGGTCAAACGACCGGAGATCCCGGACTCAGTAATTCATCTACAGGTGCATTAATGATCAGACGAGCTGCTGGGAAATTAAAAACTCCTGAAGCTTTTGCCGTTTGCATCAAATTTAGGAGAAAAGTTTCGCTTTAAAAGACTAAAGTCATTTATTTAAAACGTCTGCGGCTTCAGTTGGACTCAACGTTTTCCTGTTTCGCTCCTAAAATCCTACAGGAAACGTGTGCTTTTATTCTGAAGGACCGGTTTCAACACCTGTTGTTCTTAATAAAACACTTTAACGACATTTGTTGCCAACATAAAAGAGAAGACAGATCTGTGAGGGACGAGTTCGTGAGCTTCAGAAACATCAGGAAAATTTTTTCTTTTTCTTTGGCGGGGGGCGGGGGGGTCCAGCTGTGTGATTTTGTACATAAAAGTGTTTTCTCTTGACTTTAAGACTTATTAGAGCTTTTTTCTTGACAATAGGAAACTTTTTTCTACGTTTTGAGATGAGGCGACAAAGACATTTCCCCCCCCCCAATTTTCAGAGTTAATAATTAAAGCAGCCATCAATTTGTTCAGCTGCACTAAAAAACTTGTTCATCTAATAAGTCATAAAGTAAAAAGAATAAATAAAACATTTAATTTGTTTTCGACGAGGCGGCAGAAAGACGGAGAGCGGTTTTAAACCGTCGGCGCGGCGAGGTCCCGCCTGCAGCCCCCCCAGGTGGCGTTTGGACTCAAAGCAGGAAGCAGAGTCTGGACTCTGACGTGACTCACGTCAACAAAAAGAACACCAGGAAGGAGCTTCCACTTCCTGTCCGTGTTCCCAACATGCAGCTCGGGAGGAAGCCGGTCTGCTACGACTTCCTGTCGGCTGCCCGGGCCTCACAGGAGCCGACGGTGGCGGCAGTGGTTGGCAGGGGGGCGGAGCTTTGATGCTGAGGCTCAGACGCGGGGGGAGTTGATGTGGCGCCGCTTGACCCTGAAGAATCTCTCTGAGAGGAAGCTTTCTGTCTGCTCAGGGACAGGTGGGGTGACGGGGGGGCAGCCGCTGGGGGGGCGTCAGTGGGCGGGGCTTCTCTGGACGCTTTCTGGTCCTTTGTGCCAAGTCTGACGGGACCCAGGACGCTCTTCGCTACCGTCGCCAGCTGGGACACAACTTCGTCTACGCCACCGTCTGTGGGTGGAGCTGGGGGGGCCACGGAGGAGCTGGATGTGGAGCTTTGACTCGCGGCGGCTGCAGCGGCGCACAGCCTCCGATTGTCGGCCTCCTTCTTCTCTTTGGGTATGCCTGGGGAGGAACAGGAGGCGCGGGGGGGCTCCGTGGTGTCAGTGGTTTGGTTGGGGGGCTCCTGTGTGTCTGTGGTGTTGCAGCCAGGGGCGGCTGCAGGCTCATTTGTTTTGGGCTCTGGTAGTGCCACCTTCGGCTTCAGGTCCTTGGGTTGAAGTGGGGGGGTCGGTTTGAGGAAGGTGTCCTTCTTGACCGAGATAAAAGCGCTGCCGCTGCCAGACGGGGTCACCCTGCTGACCTGCGATGAACTTGTGTGGCTGAATGTGGCGTGGGGGGTGGAGGGAGAGAGGCAGAGGGATGGCAGCGTGCCCCCAGGTCCAGTCCTCACTGTGGTGGGTCTCATCAGAGGAGGGGGGACGAAGGTGGCCACCCTGCGTCCGTCCTGACTGTCCTCTGAACCCTCGTCCGTCTCGTCCTCGGACGAGTCGACCTCGTGGATGGCGTCCTGTTTCTGTAGCGACTCCCGGCGCTCGGCCCGGTCCTGCCGGATCGCCGACAGCTTGTCCTTCAGTTTGCTTTTCCCCGGACCCAGACCCAGAGACCCGGACACTGAGCCCAGGACGCCGTCTCCTTCCTGACGCCCGAGCTTCCTGGAGGAGGAGGCGTGTTTGTGTAGGCTGTTCTTCTCCAGGCCTTCGCTGGCGGACTCCTGAGGAACAACCAGAGAGAACCTTCAGAACCTTCAGAACCACAAGAGCGGCACCGACTGTCCCTCACACACGGGACCGGACTTTACCTGCAGACTCTGTAAGCTCGGCTCCCTCTGCAGAACCTCCTTCTTGAACTCTGAATGACAGATGTCCAGACTGTGTTTGCGACTCCCCGCGGTCGCCCCCGCCGCCCCCCCGGCCCCGGCGGGAGACGAAGGCGAGTTGGAGAGCGAGGAGGAAATCTTTTCGGCCGACTGCACCCTCTTGAGGAGCGGCGAGCGCGGGGGCTCGGCGCTCTTCGGCCGAGACATCTGCCTCACCAGAGGCGGCGAGGAGTGGAGCTTCACTGGGAAGGACTGACCCGTGGCGGTCTGGCCCAGAGCGTGGCCCGGGAGCGGAGAGGGGGAGCGCTGAGGGGAGCTGCTCTGAGGGGTGGGGGACGGAGTGCGAGCCAGCGGGGAGAGCGGGATGTTGCCCGCAGATTTGCGGCGAGGAGAGCGGTACTGGCGCTGCAGTTTCGGGGCGAGGCCATGCAGAGAACTGGGCCGGATGTGACCGGAGCTTGCCGGGGAGTTGGGAACACTGGAACTGGGGGAGCTGCTCTGAGAGGAGTTCCCTCCAACTGAGGGGACGAGAAGAAAAATACGCAGCAGAAAATCAAACGAGTCTTAAAAACATTAAAACGTGTTTGATGTGATTTAAAGTGAAGAGCAGCAGCTGATCCCGCGTGTCCCTCACCTGAGTGGGCGGAGTCTGGCGTGGACCTGTAGCCCTGCGTCGGGCTTCGCGGCGACAGGTTGTGAGTCGGCGAGCCGGCGCCGCTCTCCCCCGACGAGAGGGAGCGGTTCAGCGAGGACAGACTGCGGCTGGTGTGGAGGAGGGACGCCTGCTTGGTGATCTTCCTGAACAAAGACGTCTTCTTCTTGCTGCGAGAGGAGACGCAAAACCACTCAAACCTTATACATTCAAATTAATTCTGGTGTTCCACACGGCTCAGTTCTTGGTCCAGTTATTTTCCATGAATGACCTGCGGTACTCTGCAGAAAGGTGCTGCATGCTGATGATTCGCTGCTGTTGTGAACTTCATCTGTGACGTCGATCGTTACAAATCTTTACGTTTGTTTAAAACAAGAACGTTTCAAAAGATTTCTGGGTTCACGTCACACTTTGAAAATGAGCGGCGTTACTCGTGCTCCCACCTGTCCTGTCCCTCCTTGCTCCGAGTCTTCTTGTTGCGTCTCGCCATCTTGGACTTGTGGCTCGTCTTGCGGGCGGGGCCGACCTTGATGGACGTGTTTTCAAACAGCGTGGCAGAAATCGACACTTTGGCTCCGCTCTGAGTGACAGAACACAGAACGGGTTCTGGACCGGCTTTTATGACTCGGTTTTGACGGTCCAAACTAAAGAACAACAAAATTCAAAGAGACCTTCAGAAAACGTCTGTGTTGCTACCTTCAGTATGAGCTCCACCACCTCGGTGTGGACCAGACCGTGGACCGGCTCGCCGTTGACGTGGGTGATCAGGTCGCCCTCCCTGAGCCCCGCCTCGTGAGCCGGACCGCCCTCCTCCACGTGCTGAGGGTGAAAACACAGGAACCTTGTTGTTTGCTGACAACTCAAGCTTTTATTGACGGTTCTGGTTCTGAAGAACTCACCCAGACCATGTGATGCACCGTGTAGATGTCCGAGTCTCCCATGTAGACCCGGATGGCTCTCAGCGTGAAGCCGTACTTCTTCCCCGCTCGGTGAATGACGATGGGCGGTTTAACGTTGGTCACGGCCGGAGACAGGTCCCGGCTCGGGGAGGAGTCCCTCGACGACGGGTTGGACGACAGCGAGTGGGGAGACATGGGGCTAGCCAGCGGGGAGGCTCCGTGGTGGTCTACAGACAAACGCTTCAGATTTATTCAGTTCTTCAGTTTACAGGAAGTCAGACTGGTGGATGTACGGACCTGCAGGGATCATCAGCGACAGCGTGGTGGCCGATGCCGACTTGATGACCTTGTTGAGCGGCTTGGAGCTCGTGTGTTTGTCTGCGTCTCCGGACAGCAGCCGATGGCGAGCCCTGCGCGCCGCCAGGTCGCTGATGGCCTTCGGAGTGGACGGAGAAACGGCGTCGGGTTTGGCAGCTCCGCCGCCGTTGACGCACACGTCGCCCGAGCTGCCCGCTGAAACGACGACAGAATCAAACAGTCGGTCTGCAGGAAGAGGACTGGATTCTGGGCGCCGCTCCGTAAAGGGACCGTTCAGGCATTTAATTCATGTGTCGCACAGTCGTAGGAATAAATGTTCAAAAACACATTTAAAGTTTTTACGAAGGCCATTTTTTAATTCCTTAAGTCAGAGGTTCTGAAACCGGGGGGTTCACCCCCACTTTGGGGGGCACCCCACTGTACTTCTCGTACTCTGAGGGGGGGCGATGTCGCGGCAGACGCTTCTATTTCCAATTGTATTTATTTAATCCTTTAAAATCTGTAGACACAAGTGCTCAGACCGTTGTCATGGCGACCGGACCGCTCACACGAGAGCAGATCTGGTCCCTCTGGGTCAGCTGTCCAGAGATGATGGAGGCGGCGAGTTCATCTCTTTAATGGAGGACAGGAGGTCAGAACATGAGACGTTTGGGAAGTTTGAGACGTCTGAGACGTCTGAGACGTTTGAGACGTTTGAGACGTCTGAGACGTCTGAGGAGCATCAAACATTAAAGGCAGATTAAAGTTTGTTCGTAAATGTTCTCGTCTCTACAAAATAATTACGTCACCAAACGATACGAAGTGCGTTAAAATATGAAAACCATCACAAAGCACTGAGTCTGAGACGACGGACGGTGTGTGTGTGTGTGTGAGAGTGTGTGTGTGTGTGTGGGGGGGGGCGGGGGGACGACCAAATGAAAGGTAAAACCTGCAGCTTCTACTAGTTTGTGTAGTTTCATTTAGTTGGACAGCAGATCTTCATCAACTGAACTGTAAACGCTCAAGGTTAGCTCAAGGTTAGCCCCCCCCCCCCACCATCTGTTCAGAGCGTCTGGTTTTATAAAGACACTGACGTGTGAGCGTGGCCCGGCTCTGCTGGCTGCAGGAGGAGCTGGGGGTGGGCGGAGACTCATCCAGCTTCGGCTCTCTCTCAGCCGGGAGCTCGGGGATGGCCAGAGGGAGCTCCTCGCACCGGGGGCCTCTCACCACGCTGGGCCCCAACAGGCTGGGACTCTTCCTGCTGCCGGCGCCGCCTGACACAAACCGGACCCAAGAAAAACGTCAGTTCAACAAGCTCCGCCTTCATCTGCGTCTGACGACGTTCGGCTACTAAAGTCGCAGCTCCATGTCCCTGCTGCAGCTGAACATTCAGACGTAGATCTTTAGTTTTCAAGACAAATATCACAGCTGAACATCAGCTGAACGTCAGCCAAACGTCAGCCGAATGACAGCTGAACGTCAGCCGAACGTCATCTGAACGTCAGCTGAACGTTAGCCGAACATTAGCTGAACGTCAGCTGAACGTCATCTGAACATCAGCCGAACATCAACCGAACATCAGCTGAACGTCAGCTGAACGTCATCTGAACGTCAGCTGAACGTCAGCCGAACATCAGCCGAACGTCATCCGAACATCATCCGAACGTCAGCTGAACGTCATCTGAATGTCAGCCGAACGTCATCCGAACATCAGCCGAACGTCATCTGAACGTCATCCGAACATCATCTGAACGTCAGCCGAACGTCAGCCGAACGTCAGTTGATGTTCAGACTTGTTTTTAATTCGTCTCCTGAGTTGGAGGCTGAACTGAAGCGGTTCTCCTCCTGAAGGAGGTGAACTCAGGTCACGTTACGCCTCCTTCACCTGAGCCTCCTTCCTCCTCGGAGGAAATGGCGAAGCGGGGCATCTCGATGATGGCGGAGCAGCAGCGCCTCCTGACGGTCAGCGGCGGGCTGGAGTCGCTCTCCGTGTGGGACGACTCGGAGACGGACAGACGCTTCCTCAGGCTGAGGACGTGAGGACAGACAGAGTTCAGCTCGTTCCAGGACGTCCACGATGAACCTGCAGAACTCTGGAGGGACGAGGGATCGACTCACATCTCTGGAGATCCGACGAGCCAGGACCGGTCTCTGGACCTGAGACCGCTCAGGCTGTCGATGCGGTCTCCTCCCTCCTCGCTGAGGCTGCGTTTGGTCGGAGGAGGCGTCCTCTTCTCCTCGTGCAGAGACAGACGCTCCATGCTGCTGTAAACCTGCACAGAACCACAGGTGGGTCAGCTGGTTCCGACCCAGTAACAGACTCAGAGTCCACGGCAGGCGGGTCGGTACCTTGCTGAAGCGAGGGGAGCAGGAGGAGAACTGTCGGATCTCCACGTGTTCGTCGTCGTTGGTGTCCTCCTCTTCCTCCGAGTCCACGTGGTGGTACCGGTCCGAACGAGCTGGCAGACAAACAGAACCAGTCAGCGGTGCGGCTGCGGGCGCCGGAACACGTGAAGGAGGAACGTACTGTCGAAGTAGCTGGTGTCGTCCTCGGACTCCAGCTGAGGGATGAACTCGGCCTTCTGCCTCAGCAGGCTGTTCCAGTCCAGGTCCGAGAAGAACGGGTGCTGCTTCACCTCGAAGGCACTTCCTGCAGAGACCGACCCCAAGGAGGCGGAGAAACCGTTAACAGAACCGAGCACAGGCCGAGATTTCTGCAGCATTTACCGTAATTTCTGGATTATAAGCTGCAACATTTTCACACACTTTGAACCCCGCGGCTTAAACAACGCTGCCGATAATTAATGTTTGTTTCTGACGGACTAACGAGCTTCCTGCCCCCAAAAACAAATGTAGGTAAACGTAGATGTTTAACATGTTAGAATGCACCAGAATGCAGGAAATGACATCTTCTTTATTCAAAATTCAAAAGTTGCTCTGCACATGCCCCCCCCACCCACTCCCCCCTTTTTGCTCCGCGGAGCGCAAGCTAGCAGGAGGAATATGAATGTAAGCTACTGTATTTATTATTTTGAACCAGCCGTGTTAACGGCATTGTTCATAAAAAATATTTACTGTTTGTATTTGTGTACGTTCCCGGTACGTATTTAATTAAACGTAAAAAAATCTTTCTGTGTAAATATCTCGTGCTATAACGTGGACACACGTGGCTTGTACACAAACACGGCCTGTGCATGTGCACAGCTGTTTCGTTGTTTAATTTAGTGTGTGGATTATTCTGGGTGCGCTCCGTAATCTGGAAACTACAGTAAATAAAAGAACGAGGACGTTTCACCTCCACCTGGGAGCTTCCTCAGTTTGTAAATTTTATTTTTAAATCGTAAGAGTTTTAAAGAACCGTGAAAGAATAAAATCTTCTGCAGCGGTTTCGTACGGGACGCTCTGCGGGTGTTTCCCGTTTGTTCAGATCGTTTTTGGACCTGGTCACTGTGAGCTGTCAATCAAAGCTGAGGTCAAGTTAAATGCAGATGTTTGGTGAACAGATCTGGACCCGTGATGTTCTGCAGAGGGTTCTGACGGAGGAGGGGAGGGTGGGTTACCGGTGCCGAGTCGTTCCAGAGGATTTTGTCGGAGCAGTTTGGAGATGAGGTCCTGAGCGTCCAGAGGAAGAGCTTCATCGTCCTCCGGCCACACGATCTCATCTGACACAAACAGAAACAAAGACGGGTGAGTTTTTGGACCGCAGCGGGTCAACGTGTCCCTTAAACCACCGGCGTCCGACCCACTCACCGCTGATGACCTGACCGAACAGTTCCTCCGGCGTGTCTCCGAAGAAGGGAGCGCAGCCCACCAGGAACTCGTACAGGATGACCCCCATGGCCCACCAGTCCACCGGCTTCCCGTAGCCCTGACGCAGGATCACTTCGGGGGCGATGTACTCCGGGGTGCCACACACCTGCAGACGAGTCGGGGAGCTCAGAACAAAGTTCTGGTTGGTTTCTACTCCAGACAGAAAACCAGACGTGAGGCGGTACCTGTTTATCCAGGAACTCGCGGGTGTCCTTCTCGATGTGTCCCTCGTAAAGGTTTGTGGTGAGGCTCATCAGGCCGATCTTAGAGAGACCAAAGTCCGTCAGCTTGATGTGTCCCATGGAGGTGATGAGGAGGCTGGAACACAGAGGAACACCCAGTTTCAGTACACGTCAGTAAAAACGTTTAAAGAAGTTTCTGTCCTACTTGTCAGGTTTGAGGTCTCGGTGGACGATGCCGTAGTTATGAAGATACTCCAAGGCGAGGACGGTCTCGGCGAAGTACATGCGAGCCATATCGACCGGCAGGGCTCCGATGTTCTTCAGCAGCGTGGCACAGTCCCCGCCTTCACGCCAGAAACACGAGGCGAGACCAGTTAGTCCGACCACACATTAAAAACCAGGACAGCACAAACTGCAGCCACGAGGAAAGGTACAAAGAAAAACAGGTTGCCATGGTGATTCCCCCCTTTTCTAGGGAGCGGGGGGAGGAGGCGGAGTTTACAGCTGCACTCTTTACATGAGAGAAAACAACAAGACTAGAACGTGAATTTCAAATCAGCCTCATCGAACTTTTAAAAGGTGGAACTGAATCTTTCTGTGAATCCAGCAGGTCTGAACAGGAACCGGGACCTTCAATACTAAAACCCAGCAGGTGGTGGACGAGCTCTTACCCTCCACGTACTCCATCACCATGCAGAGGTGCCTCCTGGTCTCAAAGGAACAGAACATGGAGACCACAAACGGGTTCTCAGCGAACGTCAGGATGTCCCGCTCCACAAAGGCCTGCTGGATCTGGTTCCTCAGGATCAGGTTCTGCTTGTTGATCTTCTTCATGGCGAATCGTTGCCTGGTTTCCTTGTGACGAACGAGATAAACCGCCCTTCATGACAAAGACAAAGACGCACGGCCGGTGAAAACGTGTCGGGATAACTTTAACCAGAATCCAGAATTAGAGCCGTGACCTGAGGCCGCTCTCGTACCCGTAGGCTCCGTTACTGATCAGCTTGATGGTTTCAAAGTCCTCCTCTCGAGGGGTTTTGGTCTTAGTCTGAGGTGGAGCAGCTGGGACCGTTGTGCTTTGACTCTGCAGCAAAATAAAAAGAAATACAAACTATAACAAAGGCAAAAAACTCCACGAACGCCGAGCGCAGAATGACCGAAGAAGCTGAAACTGAGTTGGTAAAGGTAAAAGTAGCAAAACACTAGCTAAAAGGCTAACACAGCAAAATGACAGCTAAAAGAAACAAAACACTAGAAAAAAATAGAAAAGCACAAGCTGAAAGTTAAATGTAGTGAAAGGCAAGATAAGAGCTAAAAGTATTAAAAGACTAGCTAGGCGCCAAAGTATCAAGAGGCTAGCTAGGTGCTAAAGAAGCAAAAAGGTAGCTAGGTGTTAAAACTGCAAAAGGCTAGCTAGATGCTAAAGAAGCAAAAGGATAGCTAGGTGCTAAAACTGCAAAATCCTAGCTAGGTGCTAAAACTGCAAAATCCTAGCTAGGTGCTAAAACTGCAAAAGGCTAGCTAGGTGCTAAAGAAGCAAAAAGCTAGCTAGGTGCTAAAGAAGCAAAAGGCTAGCTAGGTGCTAAAGAAGCAAAAAGCTAGCTAGGTGCTAAAGAAGCAAAAGGCTAGCTAGGTGCTAAAACTGCTAAATCCTAGCTAGGTGCTAAAACTGCAAAAGGCTAGCTAGGTGCTAAAGAAGCAAAAGGCTAGCTAGGTGCTAAAGAAGCAAAAGGCTAGCTAGGTGCTAAAGAAGCAAAAAGCTAGCTAGGTGCTAAAGCAGCAAAAGGCTAGCTAGGTGCTAAAGAAGCAAAAGGCTAGCTATGCGTTAAAATCAGCAAAACATAGCTAACAGCTAGACGTAGCAGGGTGGTAGCTAAAAGTAGCATAAGCAGACGGAGCCAGTAGCTGAAACAACTTTTAGAACAACGTTTGTGAAATGAATAAATTTCTGTCGGTAAAACATTTTTAAATAAAGTGAAACGTTTTGAAAAGTCAAAGTTCTGTTTGTGACTCACGTCCACAGAATCGTCGGTCTCGGGGGTTTCTGGGTTCCCGCTGTCGTAGCTGCTCAGCTGAGTCATTTCTGTAAACAGTTTGTTGATCAGACCGAGGAGAATCGTTCAGGTTTCCATCAAACAACAAACAAACAAAAACACTAAACAATAAATAGTAAATAAAGTTGGAGGTTTTACCCTCCAGAGGGTCTCTGGTGAGTCCCAGCTGGCTGATGATGTATCGGGGGATGTCGGACTTGATGCCCTGACCCTCCTTAGCGTGGCCCTCAGCTGCTTCCAACAGGTGGTAAAACTCCTCAGGATCAAACTCCTGGAGGAGGAGGAGGAGGAGGAGGAGGAGGAGGAGGAGAAACACGACAGAGTTTATTTAACACACAGACAGAAAGTAAAAACTGGACCTAAACATTTAAAAGAAACGCTGAGTGGATCCTGAACCCTGCAGGAAAAACCAAAACAGAAACAGACCTGGGTATGTGGGGAGGTACCAGATAACTACCAGGTATATTACCAGGTAAGTACTGGGTAAGTACCAGGTAAATTACCAGGTAAGTACTGGGTAAGTACCAGGTAAATTACCAGGTAAGTACTGGGTAAGTACCAGGTAAATTACCAGATAAGTACTGGGTAAGTACCAGATAACTACCAGGTAAGGTACTACATGTTATCAGGTAACTACATGGTAAGTACCAGGTAAGTTTCAGGTTATAGTGTGTATTACTAGAGTATATTTGATTACCAGATAATAAAAGTGTCACACAGGTAATACAGGTAAGCCGTCAGGTGAATGAAAGAAACAGAATCTTTGCTGGTTTGACCTCAGAGCAGCAGGTTGGAGACAGGGATGGACGTTGGACCAGAATGAGACATCTTTTGTCCTCATATTTGTGTTTGACCTCTCATAGATGTAGAGTAACCCCCCCTCCTCCTCCTCCTCCTCCTCTGTGTGATGTCACAACTCCTCCAACAGGTGAGCCATCAAAACCAGTGAGGTGAGTCCACGTCCCTGTCCTCCATCTGTCTCATGTCTTCGTCTCATGTCTTTGTCTCAGTTGTCTCATTAACCTGAACTTCGTCTGGTTTGACCCAAACCCGAGCTGAACCTCGCAGTCAGTTTAATTTGGTCGGTTCGTTAAGACGTTCTAAAACTCTCACAGGAAGTGATGAAAGTTTTCTGATCCGAGGGTGGAGCCTCGAAAAGATCATCAGTTAAAGACGAACAGACGTAAAGAACTAAACAGGAACAAACATGATCGCCCGCCGCCATCACGGACATCAGTGAACCGGATCCTGGGTCCACAGGGATGGGAAAAGACAGGGTCCTGGGTCTACAGGGACAAGGCAAAATTATGAGTCCATAGGATCAGGACCGGATGGGATCCTGGGCTGTCACTGAAGAGACGTGACGGGCTCCTGGTTCCAGCTGGATGAGGTGAGACAGGATCCTGGCTGCCAGGAACAAGATGGGATCTTGGGTTTGTGGGTCAAGACAAGATCCTGGGTCCACAGGGTTGCAACGAGTTGGGATTCTGGGTTCACTGAGACCAATTGGGATAGGACCCTGGGTCTCTGGGGACAAGACAGGATGAGAGGACGCCCTGTGTCCACGGGAATGAGACGAACTTGAAGAATATTATTTATAAAAATCTTTCCTGACCTTTCTTCTGTAATTTGTCCTGAGTGTCTTCAGAAGTAAGACCAGGTCTTTCAGACCAGGATCTGAAGACAAGATCCTGTCTTCAGACCAGGCTCTTCAGACCAGGTCCTTCAGCTGTCCGTGACCTTTGAACCCGTCTGGGAATGACTGAGGAACAGTTTACGAATAATAAAGTGGTTTTCTCATCCGTGCCGACTTCCTGTGGAACCTTCAGGTCTTCCTGACTCGTTCTGAGGTGGAACAAACGGAGAACGTTCCTTCTCTAAAGAAAGAAACGACGTTCGTCTCTCACCAGACACTCCAGGAGCCGAGCGGGCCGGGCGATGATGATCATCAGCTTCTTGATGAGCTGAGTGACGAAGGCGACCTCCACGCTCTCCGAGCGCTCGTGAGCCTGAAACAGAAACACTGTTTTAATCCAAGGGTCAAGGGTCAAGGGTCAAGGGTCAAGATTCTTCATTGTCATTCTCATCACACGTGGGACATGAGGTGGAATGAAATTGTGCACTCAAGGTCCCAGTTACACCAAAAATATAAACTATAAAATATAATGTTCACTTTTAAATGTTGGACAAAAAAACATTCCAGGAGTTTCAATGAAGCTGATACTTTAGCTACTTTTAGCTTGTTGCCAACATCTAGCACATTGTCATTTTAGCTACTTTTTTAGGCAACAATTTGTTTTCAGCTACTTAATTGCTGCTTTCAGCTTTTAGTTACCTTGTAGCTAAATTTAGCTTTTAGCTACAATTTAGCTAACTTTAGCTCCTGAACTGCTTGTTTTTAATTCTTTGTGTTTCTGGTCATAACTCTTGTCCTCTTTTTGTCCACTCGTTGTCTTCTCTCTGTACTGACTTCATCCTGTCTCTGTAATGTCTTCTTCCTGTCTCTGTCCTGTCTTCATCTTGTCTCTGTCCTGTCTTCATCTTGTCTCTGGTCCTGTCTTCATCCTGTCTCTGGCTTGTCTTCATCTCGTCTCTGCACTGTCTTAATCCTGTCTTCGTCCTGTCTCTGGTCCTGTCTTCATCCAGTCTCTGGTACTGTCTCCAGCCTGTCTCTAGTCCTGTCTTCATCCTGTCTCTGGTTTGGTCTCCATCCTGTCTCTGGTACTGTCTCCATCCTGTCTCTGGTCCTGTCTTCATCCTGTCTCTGGTCCTGTCTTC